GGGGGGGGGGGGTTATGGACTTTGCCCTGACTGTCCTTGGGGTCTCCACGCCTAGACCTTACCCTGCAGGTAGCAGAGGTTCTAGAGATGAATGAAGGAGGAGATTAAATCAGGCATTGAAGGCTCCCTTCTCCTCAGTAGCGCCCTCCCTGAACTGGGCTGGCTTCCTCCCCGGGGCCCTCGGCAGCCAGTCCACCACCAGGCCAACCGCAGGCCCCGCAGACCCCAGGCCACGTGCGGGGTCTCCCCTCCCACATCTCCGGGGAACTCTGGAATCTGCTTTTTCCCCACTTCATCACCCAAAAAACCAATTTTTTTCACTAACTCCACCCCGGACTTGCCCAAACTTTACAAATGCAGCACTCTTTCCCCCGGGAGTGTAAAGGCCGGGAGTAAAAATAAAACGCACCACAGCAGGCTGAGCTTATAGTGTTCACAGGAGCATCTGAGAGCTTGCCTGTGACCACCCATTTATTTTAATGACATCAGAATACGACAGTCTGTTGCGGGGGACAAAAGCACATTTTTTATCCCATACTGGGGAAGTGGCACTATAACATTGTTTTTAAAAAAACATCTTAATATGTTTCCTCTTAGAACCTATTGTCGAGTTAGAGAAATAAGCTTTGCCGAATGCCCACTTCTGCGTTTGTTGGTCCTGGCTGGCTGGCTCCTCTCATCAGCTTTCCCCAGGAGCTCCCCCCAGAGTAGAAAATATAGGTAAGTCCGCCCCGCCAGACAGTGCCCCAGCCCCCCGGCTGTCTGCGTCCACCAGCGCCGTCTGGGGGTGAGGCAGGGGTGCTTTCCTGGCCACCCAGCAGATGTTGAAAGTCTGTCTCAGGCCTCACTCTGCCTGGATGCCCACTGGGGAGACACCAGGTCTATTCTTGCCTCTGGCGTTAAATTGCTAGATGACCTTGGTCTCCGGTCTAGACACCCCGTCTCCCTGATTCTCAGTTTTCCCACCCACCAGGGACCCCCTCAGGCTCCTCCTGATTCTGAGACCCTGTGGGTTCTTGAGGGGCAATCCCACTGACACTAGGGACTTCTGCTCCCAGGAAGGACAGTGGTGACTGCTCAGCCTTTGGGCTCCCCTGGTGATAGACACGTCTTGGTGAAGGGCGAGGTTAGCTCACTCCCAGTCCTGGCCGCGTGGGGGATTTTCTCGCGTCTCCCTGGCCCCGGGAGACCCCTCTTCCTTCCCGTGCCCCTCTCCTGTCCCACCCTCTGTCCTCGCTCTGAGGTGTCAGACTTGAGTTCCTTCCTATGAGACTGAACAGGTTATACAGAGACCTATCAATAAAGCAACAACATCGGTAATAACCTGACGTGTGAGACGGGCAGCCAGTGAGAGGGGCTGGGCCTGAAGGGCGCGGAGGAGAGCAGGGCTGGATGGGCTGCCTTGGCTCCCACCCCCCGATGTGTGAGACCCTCTGTCTAGACTCTTTCTGGATGCTAGGGGAGCAGAGCAAGGAATGGAGAAGACAGAACCAGAGCAGGAAAATTAGCAGGAAAAACCTCTTTCCTTTTCTGGTCGGTTTCCCCAGTGAGCTTAAGCTGCCTCCATCTCCCACGTGTGTGCCTTTCTGGAGAAGGGACCGGAGCTCTGGGCCTGGCTGTGGGCCTGGCTCTCCCACGGGGCGGGTGTGTGGCTTAAGGCGAGTCCAGAGGCGGGAGAGGCCCACGACCTCATCTAGGAAATGGGCTCTGTGCTTTGCCCTTCCTGGGGCGCAGGAGTCACGTGGGAAAAATGAGGTGCACTGGGAATGTCCAGAGGAGCAAGTGGTCTTTGTCATTAGGTTGGTGGCCTGGAGGATCCAGGTAAAGCCTGTCTGCCCCATAGCAAGAGCCTCCAAGAACTTTCTGGAATCGGACGCCTACCAGGACTGTGGGTAGGCTGGGTTCCGGGCCCTGGCTTCCTGCCCTCCGAGGGTCACAGTCCAAGCTGAAATCTGGAGGGAGGAGGGCCATTGGGAACTCGCAGAGGAAGGACTGGTGGCCAGGGACAGGATGACCAGGGACGGCGGCATGACTGTCCTCCCTCCTGTCACCTGGAGGGCTTAGTTCCCTGGAGGGGCAGGGAAAGAGTAGCTGTTTTAAATTTTGGCAGAACAGGCTCAGAGTTTAGATAGGTCTGCACTGGACCCCAGGGCCAGCCAGGCAGGAGCAGTGGGGTCTGCAGTGGGTTCAGGGGTGGGGCGGGGCAGAGGGGAGCATGGGGTTTTGGGGTCACAGGGAAGGCCAGCGCCCTTTCCTGGAAGAACTGGGCCTCTCGGATGTCAACAATCAGAACTGAACACTTTTAGAGAAGAAACAAAGTAACATCTCTCCCTCTCACTTCCCCTTCTTCCTGAGCTGCTGACACGATCCTGTTGCATCAACATAAACACGCCCTCCTCTTCCTCAGACAGGCTTTCACTTCTTTATTCTTACCCTTTCATTGTAAAACATTTTTATTAGTCTTTACTCTTAAAATTTTTAACAGCTGTTTATAAAAACACGACAAATACACAACACAACACAGAAGACCCAGTAACGATAACTCACTATATGGTACATGTACTCAGACGGTGTGATATATTTATATAATACAAGATGAAAATAGTCACTTTCCATAATAAAAATAAGTTCTATTTTTGTTTATTTTACAATATACTTAATATTCTCTTCTTCTTTTCCTCCCCAGCTTCCGTGGCTCGACTCCGGGTCCGGGGGCCCCCAGGGCCTTAGGAGCAGGGCCGGCAGCCGCACTCCACGTGCCTCTCCACCTCCTCCACGAAGGACGAGCCGTCCGCGCACTGGAAGACGTGTTTCCGCCGCTTGCTGCGCGTGGGCTGGCAGCACTGGGGCCCGCAGCCGCCGCGGCACTGCACCACCGGCACCCTGGCGGCCGTGGCGCACGACGCGTAGCCTTTCTGGCGGCGGATCACCTCTCGGACGACCTCCCCCAGGCACGGGCTTTCTGCAGAGGGCAGAAGAGGTAGGGTCAGGGCGCGGGGGCGGAGGCGGGCAGGAGCCAGGGGCTGTTCTGAAACTACACACTTCATTCACTTGCTCATCCATCTCCCTCCCCCCCACACTCTCATTTATGCACCCGCTCTTCCACCCACTCAGGCACCACCCACGGACTCACCCGCAGGCAGCCTCACCTCCCTGCATGTACCCACCCCATCCTCGTATGCACTCACCCAGCGTTCATCTTCCCCACCACACGTCTGGGCATCCACATCTGTACCCACCTGTATACCTACCCACCCTCGCATCCATTCTTGCACCCACCTGCCCACTCAGCTCCCCACCAGGCTTGGTCCCTTCCTTCAAGGACCTTAAAGCCCAAACTTTATGTGTGAACACATAGACTGTGGGCTGAATCCTGTGTCCGAACTCTGCACCACACGTTTCAAATCCAGATGAAATACCAATTTTAAAAAACAAAACCCAGAAGATTCCACCCAATAATGGGGATTTCTGGCTTCTTCGAAAACCAGGGGGTCTGGCAAACCGGGGGCTTCCCTGCACTGTTACAGCGGCTGGAGCGAAGCGCAGGAGGTGGGGCGGGGCTGCAGGGTGCCCGGGTGCCCACCCACGGCCTCGCGTCTCAGGGGTGCAGCCTGGGCACTGATGATAAGTGAGGGTCGCTGGGGAGGAAGGGGCCGCGTTTACACAGCAGCGCTTGGCCAGGGCGCTGGGCCTGGGGGATGTTTCGGGGAAAGGAGGCCGAGTTGAGATCTGAGTGAGGAACAGGCGCCAATGAGCCAAAGAGCGTGGGGGAGGAGCTTTTCCAAAAGTCCTGGAAATGACTGGAGGGGGAAGGGGGCTCTAAATCTGCAGGAATCCTCCGGACCCTACCCTTCATCTCCACCCCTATGAAAGTAGGGAGGGGAATGAACTGAGAGGAAATATGGAGAGGGGTAAGGAAGAGGGGAGAGGGGAGGGGGAGGGGCGAAGCAGCCTCACAGGGGCACACAGTAGGCCTACCTTGTTCGCAGTGCTCCCCTCCGAAGCCGGGCTGGCACAGGCAGTAGGGCTCCCCTCGGTCTGAGACGTGGCACTGCCCGTGGTGACATTTGAAGGCCGAGCAGGCGCCGGCGGAGTCATTTTTGTGGTCGCACGAGGCCCCGCCGTAGCCCTCCGCGCACTTGCACACGTAGGAGGTCCCGGTCGTCACGCATTTCCCGTGGTTGCAGCTGTCGGCGGAGGAGAGGGTGAGAACGGGCCCAGAGCCGAGGGTGCCGCTGGCGGTGCC